TTTTTTTTTTTTTTTTTCGAGACAGGATTTCTCTGTGGCTTTGAAGGCTATCCTGGAACTTGCTCTGTAGACCAGGCTGGTCTCAAACTCACAGAGATCTGCCTGCCTCTGCCTCCCGAGTACTGGGATTAAAGGCGTATGCCACCACCACCCAGCTGAGCTGTGTTCTTAAGTGCTAGATTATGATGTGCCTTAAAGAGTTAGAGACACTGCACTCAGGCTAAGGCGTTGTTGGCCATGATAGATGTGATAATGGATCAGCAACACACATTGCCTCAGGTGATCTTAAATGGTAGCACTCATAAAACAAGACTATACATTAATCACTGGATGAAAATGCCATGACAAGAGGCTCATGATAATCTAAACCCGGGTTCTCCTAAAACGGTGGTTCAGAATTCTCTAATTCAGTATTGGAGGTAACCTGATGGAATGTAACCACTACCAACAACAACAAACAACTGTACCTATCATTTCCCTGATTATCTTCGTAAGCTCTGGTCTCATTTGAAGTAGGGAGTGCATTACTAGCTAAGTATTAAAGGAAAAGAAAATGTCATTCTTTTATATTTGTGAATGTCCTTATTTTAAAATGAGACCATCCAATTTAGCAAAGGCTGGATCCCAAACAAAATAATTCTACATACTACTGATTTCGTTTTATAGAGTCAAATGGCCAAGGACGGCTGTCATCAGCATGCTCACCATTTTTGTTCTTCAGGTTGGGGTCAGCGCCGCTTTTCAGGAGCTTTAAGGCACACTGCTTATGGGCCCGGTAAGCTGCACAGTGCAGGGGGGTGTTTCCTAACTGATCCGAACAGTTCACATCAGGAGGATTGGGCCTGCTGAGCTAACAAAGGAACACAATGTGATTATATAACAAAGAAAGGCTCAGACAGAGCCTGCAGGACAGCAGATCTCACAGGCTATCAGACTATGCCCCTTTGGCTTACTCCTCAATCAGCCATGCTTGTCCTCAGAAGCCATGAGATCTGAGGTCTGTGTCCTGGCACCACACGTGACAGCAGCGTCATCCACCTACCCCTCACATTAAGTTTTTCTAGGGGTAGTGCATGCTTTTAATCCCAGCACAGAGGCGGAGGTAGGCGGATTTCTGAGTTTGAGGCCAGTCTAGTCTACAGATCTGAGATCCAGGACCGCCAGGAGTACACACTGTCTCAAAAAACCAAAAAAAGAAAAAAAAATTTCACTAACATGCTTGCTGTCGACAGCCTTGCATTTCACACTTGTGACAGCAAAACTATAAATCATGTACCCAACAACAGTCCCCAAGGAGAGTCAAACCCAGAGATGCTAGAATCATAAATGTCAAGGTTCTGCTGAATTTGCCGTTCCCACCTCACTACTTTAGCAAGCTCTATATAGTCTCATTGCACAAAAATGTTAAATGTTGCAGTACTATACTTAGAAACCAAAAAAGTGTTTTCAAATGAGCTGGAATAACTTTAAAGTAAATGGCAATGCTTCAGTATTGAATTCAGAACAAATTTAGAGTTTCATATTTAATGAGACCATCAGGAAATGGAAACAGGAAAGTAGGTCTCCTAGGAAAACAAGAAGAGCCGGCAAAGCTGTCAGCTCTCTGGGCTTGCTCTGAGCATGTGATCCAACACTGTCCCTTCTAGGTATCTTACTCTTCCAGAAGGACACTGCTCTTTCAGAATTTATTGTTCATCAAAATGAGAAAAACCTTCTCCTTGACAGGACCTGTATTTTTTTTATTTTAAATGGGCTTAATCTGAAAATAATTTTTAAAATTTTCTTTACCTTAACTATTTGCTACAAGAAACTGGATTCTTACTCATCAGGTTTTTGATTGGGGAAGAGGAGATAAGTCAGAAATTCAGAGATCCATCAGTTTGTACAGCCAGGCAAGTGTGTATGTGACACTTCTATTCTAGTGTGGCAGTAAGAGGTTTCCTCCCACAGTCACTGAATTATGAACTTAACATTTAAGGAAACGGCACTAACATAGGTGAAAAAAGTGCTTCTTGTTACCAGAGCTGATACTTCGGCTGTTCGCCCTTCCCGGGCTGCTCCTAACAGCAATTCTTCAAGCTTTCTTTGTTGAGTCCTTTCCACAGCTGCAAGAAAAAAAGAAAACAGGTCTTAATCTACAGCTGGTGCAATCCTATTGGAGAATTCATTACAAAGATAAAGACAAGTTCATTACATGATAAGCATGGACTGGAGGGATGGCTCAGCAGTTAAGAGCACTGGCTGCTCTTGAGAGGGCCTGAGTTAGGTTCGTGTTATGAGATATTTGTACACTGTGTGAAGGTGTATTGCTGTGACTGGTGTAATAAAAAGCTGAATGGCCAATATTTAGGCAGGGTGTATTCAAGGGATTTCCAGGGAGATAAAGGAAGAGGAGGATATAAGGCTCATAAGGGTCGCCAGTGAGCCTGTGAAGAAGCAGGACATGCAGGAAGAGCAGTTAATAGCCATGAGCCACCTGTCAGGACGCAGATTAATAGACATGGGTTAACTTAAGTTATAAGAACTAGCTAGGAACAAGCCTGAGCTATAGGCTGAGCGTTCATTGATGGGGAATGTCTTTCTGTGTATATGTTTGTCTTATTGGTAGATGAATAAAACAATGTTGGCCAATAGGGAAACAAGGAGGACTCAGGGAAGTGCAGGCAGAGAGGAGCCATTTTTGAGATCCCAGGAAGTGACATAGCAGGGCAAAATAAGCAGGGACAAGCAGGAAATAGCTCTCTTCTCTCTTTGCAATGTAGACATCAATGAAGTAAAAGGCCTGGAACTTTCCTCCAGTAAGAGAAGACCATGTGGAAATACTTAGATTTATAGAAATGAGTTAATAATTAAGTCAGAGCTAGCTAATAAGTAACCATAGCCTATGGCCAACAGTATTCATAACTAATATATATAGCATCTGCATGTTTCTTTGGGGCAGAGAGGTTCATAATTAATAAGAAGTCTTAGTGTCATTATTTGGAGCAAGACGGTACAAAGTA